CTAGTCAGAGAACTTGGAATATTTTAGATAAAGGAGTCTTATAGGCCACCTAGAGCTTCAGAACATACCAGGACAAAATTAGGATGTGTTTTAAGAGGTTTCATGATGTCTACTGATATGTGTGTCAGAATAAAGACCAAAACTTGAAAACGATTATCAGTTTTGTGCTAACAGTGTTGTAAGAAAAAATAGCATGTGGTAACAAGAACCCAGAAAAGTTCTCCTTTCTGCCACAGGAATTCTGGCTTCTCACCAGCCCCATAAAAACCAAGTTACAGGGGTACCTGGGTGGCTCAGTCAGTTGAGTGTCAGCAGGGGGTCTGCTTTTCTCTCAGACTCTCACCCGGATCGTGCGCATGTGCTTGCTCGCCCTCTCTCTCTCTCGCTTGCTCTCTCTCTCTCAAATAAATAAATAAAAAGGGCACCTGAGTAGCTCAGTTGGTTAAGCATCTGCCTTCGGCTCAGGTCATGATCCCAGGGTCCTGGGATTGAATCCTGAGTTGGGCTCCCTGCTCCATGGGGAGTCGGGGGATCTGCTTCTCCCTCTGCCCCTCCCTCCACTTGTTCTCTAATAAATAAAATCTTAAGGGAAAAAAAAAAACCCCAAGGTACAGCTCAGTTTGGAAAGCCAGATGGAATAATCTCAGGGACTTGTCATTATAATAACTGTCATTCTAAAGTTTTTCATATGATGCAGTACTCACTGCCCCTCTCTCAAAATCTACATACTTCCCCACTGAATTGTTCCTGCTTCTTGCACTCATTCAGTTGACCAGTATAATAACCTATGCCTATAACTCTTTGTATGGTTCATTACTATTTGCAGAATATAAAATTAGACACCAAATAACATAGTAAAACACAATAGTACCACTTTGAATAATACCTATACATACAACTTCAGAATTTCATCTGTATGAAGTCCCAGACTTAATATGTTCTTATAGCTGAATGCATTGAGAAATCATGACATTATCTTACTTATAAGATAAAGACATCTACTTTCATATATTCCTTTTAATTCAGAGTATCATGAGGAAAATGTGAATCACTAAAGTGCTTCTCATGAAAACACTAACAAAATCTTCCTGAAGCATTCACCTAAGAACACAGTAAAGAATATTCAGTTACTTCTTTTATCTGTAGAAGTGAAAATGTGGGGCGCCTGGGTGGCTCAGTTGTTAAGCGTCGGCCTTTGGCTCAGGTCACGATCCCAGGGTCCTGGGATAGAGCCCCACATCAGGCTCCCTGCTCGGCAGGGGAGCCTGCTTCTCCCTCTCCCACTCCCCCTGCTTGTGTTCCCTCTCTGTGTTTCTCTAATAAATAAATAAAATCTTTAAAAAAAAAAGTGAAAATGCACAAGTATTATGTGAATCCTGAATGCAAGAAAAGCCAATTATTTTTAGTACAAACTAACATATTTTATACCAGTTTAAATTGTAAAATTGGCAGAGGGCAAGAGTAGGCTTTTCTTTGAAGTTTCAATGCTGTTTCATGATCCACAATCATATCACTAAGATTAACTGATGGAATGAAAGAACAAATACCCGATTATCCACTAATTAATACTGTTCCTGCATAATCAATCAGGAAGTAGAAAGAAAAGAACTTTGGTCTTATCAGAAAGTTTTATTTTTCTAGCCTCTACAAATTATGGCTTCTTAGCTGTTTATCTTCAGATTTCTCCATAAGACATTTAAATTAGGAAAACTAATGATGCCAGTAAGCCCTTAAAAATTTTAATGAATATTATTTGGCCTTTCATGGGTGAAAAATAGATTAGTCATCAGATTTCAGATGCAAGTTTCATTCTTTAGAAAAACAATAAAACTAAGAAACTAGAGAATACAAATAATCATTACCAGATAAACATCAACGTTAGGTTTTAAATGCAAAATATAAACTAAAGGACCAGTATCCTTAACCTCAGTGGTTGGTTACTCTTTAATACACTAAACCAACTTTTAGGCTGGAAATCTTTTTCATTCCTATTTTCCACAAGAAGATTTTTAAATGTAATTCCTTTAAGTCTGTCATGATTACAGATTCAAAACCTTTCATCATCATTAGTATAAACTGACAGATCTCTTGAACAAAATTAGTTTTTAGATGGCTCCTAAGTGAAATTACCAATGATTTGAAATTGCCACACCAAACTAAAAACTTCGGGCTGGTAGTTGGGGCACCTGAGTTCTATAGTAAACTTGGCTGCTGACTTTTTGTGAGACTTTGGGGAAGTTGCTTACCTTATGCTTCAAGTGTCCTCATTTTAAAATGGATAAAATAATACAGTCCTGCTTCATCGCAGTGACTATTATAACAAGAGATCATATGTGAATAGAGTTGCTCAGAAGTTTTTAATAAAAAAGGCTATTAAAATATTTATAGTTTTCTAGTACTGTATTACCAATGGACTCAAATGTTCCAATGTTCATATAGCTTCTTACTTATCAAACAATCATGAAGCAGTTTGCTCAGTAATTAAAAATAAATATTGTTAAAAATCTATGCTACGCAGAGCAATCTACACATTGAATGCAATCCCTATCAAAATACCATCGTCATATTTCACAAAGCTGGAAAAAATACTCCTAAAATTTGTATGGAACCAGAAAAGACCCCGAACAGCCAGAGGAATGTTGAAAAAGAAAACCAAACCTGGTGGCATCACAATGCCGGACTTCAAACTCTATTACAAAGCTGTCATCAGCAAGACAGTATGATACTGGCACAAAAACAGACACATAGATCAATGGAACAGAATAGAGAATCCAGAAATGGACCCTCAACTCTATGGTCAACTAATCTTCAACAAAACAGGAAAGAATATCCAATGGAAAAAAGACAGTCTCTTCAACAAATGGTGTCGGGAAAATTGGACAGCCACATGCAAAAGAATGAAACTGGACCATTTCCTTACACCACACACAAAAATAGACTCAGAATGGATGAAAGACCTAAATGTGAGACAGGAATCCATCAAAATCCTAGAGAAGAACACAGGCAGCAAGCTCTTCGACCTTGGCTGCAGCAACTTCTTGTTAGATGCGTCTCCAGGGGCAAGGGAAGCAAGGGCAAAAATGAACTATTGGGACTTCATCAAGATAAAAAGCTTTTGCACAGTAAAGGAAACAGTCAACAAAACTAAAAGGCAACCTACGGAATGGGAGAAGATATTTGCAAATGACATACGAGATAAAGGGCTAGTATCCAAGATCTATAAAGAACTTATCCAACTCAACACCCAAAAAACAAATAATCCAGTCAAGAAACGGGCAGAAGATATGAACAGACATTTCTCCAAAGAAGACATACAAATGGCCAACAGACACATGAAAAGATGCTCAACATCACTCATCATCAGGGAAATACAAATCAAAATTACAATGAGATACCACCTGACACCCCGTCAGAATGGCTAAAATGAACAAGTCAGGAAACGACAGATGTTGGCGGGGATGTGGAGAAAGGGGAACCCTCCTACACTGTTGGTGGGAATGCAAGTTGGTGCAACCACTCTGGAAAACAGTATGGAGGTTCCTCAAAAACTTTAAAATAGAGCTACCCTATGACCCAGCAATTGCACTACTAGGTATTTACCCCAAAGATACAAATGTAGTGATCCGAAGGGGTATGTGCACCCCAATGTTTATAGCATCAATGTCCACAACAGCCAAACTATGGAAAGAGTGGAGATGTCCACCAACAGATGAATGGATAATATATAATGAAATTATTACTCAGCCATCAGAAAGGATGAAATCTTACCATTTACACCAAAGTGGATGGAACTGGAGGGTACAATGCTGAGTGAAATAAGTCAACCAGAGAAAGACAATTATCATATGGTTTCACTCATATGAGGAATATAAGAAACAGCACAGAGGATCATAGGGGAAGGGAGGGAAAAACGGAATGGAAAGAAATCAGAGAGGGAGACAAACCATGAAAGACTGTTAACTATAGGAAAGAAATTGAGGGTTGCTGGGGGAGGGGTGGATAGGGTAATTAGGTGATGGGCATTAAGGAGGGCATGTGATGTGATGAGCACTAAGTGTTACATGCAACTGATGAAATACTAAACTCTACATCTGAAACTAATAATGTTCTATATGTTGGCTAATTGAATTTAAAGTTAAAAAATAATAAAAAGAATAGATCAGTTTGATCCAATTAGTAACTGGTAAAGGAAGGTGAGTGTATTCTAATTCTTAATTCCAAATAAGGATGATGCAATAAATACATAATGCAGATGTGTTTGTACAAAGAATATTTCACATAACTACAGATACCAAGTTTTTTCTTGTTGTTGTTTACAAATTCCACTGGTGTTAGATTTCTTATTTGAATATAGCAGGACAAAACTGATATTTCTTTTTATCCTGAAAAATCACATATAAGTCCATAAAGAATGATAAACACAAATTTCATTTTTGGCAAAATTAGGAGATGAAACATAAAATGAGTAGAAAGGCTGCCTAAGCAGTAGAGATAGAGTAGGAGAACATGCTGTAGGCGGCGGAGAGAAAATTCTGCAGTTGTAGATGTCAGAAAGAACAAAGTACACTTCTTGAACGTGATGGGCATGCCCTAAAGTATAAACCCCTTATTTCTGTCAGTAGAAACAAGGTACATGGGCTGATAGCCAGAGCTCTTCTGGACGTGGTTTGGTTCCAAAAAGTAGAGGGGGACAGTTCTACATAAAAAAGTCATATAAACAAACTATATTTGTAATAAGAAGTCTGTCTCTCTGGCTATGAAAGAAAAGAGACTATCTCCATTGACTGGGGCAAAATAAATGAGGAACAAAAGAGGAAAAGTTAACAGCCACAAAGAATGTTCACAAAAAACAATGTTACTGTAGAACAGATGAATATCATGCCAAATACTTTACCATTAATGAGTGAAACTTAATTATGCAATCAATTCTTAGAATTTAGAAAAAATCATAAAATTTTACAGACTAGAAGGCTAATGACTAAACTAGCATAATCACTCACCTCTGATTCATATTTTATTTTTTCTTCTTCTAAAGTACGTGCAAATTCTTCTTTCTGGTGTTCAAATTCTGATTTGAGAAATGTATGTTCATAGCGAAGCTTATTATATTCAGTTCTATACTTTTCCACTTCCTAAATTAAAAGGAGACTGTAATTTATGACACGTTTATAAATGAAATTTGTACTCACTCCAAAAATCACTTTTGCAAATATAATTTTAAAGTGCATTATGTTGAAAGCCATTCTAAAAAGCAAAAAGTAAGCTTAACAGAAATATAAATAAACCCTGGAAAATTCTTTTTTTTTTTTAAGGATTTTTATTTATTTATTTGACAGAGAGAGACACAGTGAGAGAGAGAAATAGGCCTCCCGCTGAGCAGGGAGCCTGATGTGGGGCTCAATCCCAGGACTCTGGGATCATGACCTGAGCCAAAGGCAGACGCTTAAACCATCTGAGCCACCCAGGTGCCCCTAAACCCTGGAAAAATCTTATGGCAAGTATCCTACATACAGAATCAGTACAGTCTTGAGAAGGTGCCAATAAAGCAAATTACCATTCAATTTACCTTATTTACTCACTGATTCTCACAATAATAAAGACAAATAGCACATCAAAAGTTTTGACCTGTGGGCCTAATAGAATAATATTTAATAATGTAGTATACCTTTCAAAATTAGTTAAATTTTAAAAATTAACTCTATAGTAAAATATAAAATAGCCTCCTAAAAGGATGAATTCTAAGTAGATAAAATATTATTTGAATATTTAGTACAATAACTTAAGGTTCAATCAAGTATGACAATGACAGTTCAACACACCAGTCTAAAGAATATATGTAGCACCAACTTTCCTGACTAACCAGAACACATGCGAATCTCTGGTATGTTCCAATTCTGCTTACTAACACTACAAAAGTTGTTGGCATTCTAAAATCAGTAAGAACTTAGGCAATAGAGAAGATGAAGGAGATGCTATTTCAACATTCGTCAGGAAATTAAGTAATAAGAACACCTTCTAAAATATTCAGCTCACTGTAACTCTTCAGTTGAAAGATTTCTCCAAGACAGTTTAACAAACCAAGAAAATGGGTTTCATGATTTTACTAAAAAAAACCAAAAAAACAAAAAAACAAAAAAAACTTTTACTTAACTAACTTGATCACTTAACCTTAGGTCTAAGTGGCTTTGTTTAAATGCAAAAATTAAATCTACTCCCAATCATAATGCTTTGGTTACCCACCAGGAGGATATTCAAAAGATGACTTTACCAAGCCAATAAGCCATTTATAAAAGTGGATTCTACAACTACTTTGTGTAATGGCAGCATCATTAGACTACAGCTTTCCAAAGTGGTCCATTCTGAAGGGGACAATATTCATGTGTTATGTATAAGGCCCAGCCTAGTCATTAAATAATGTTACATATATAAATTGTCTGGCATAGTACTTAATATATGTTGTCTTTTCCTATTCCATTTATTAAACATTTAATCATATTATACCAACATGAAATTTCATAAGAGGAAGGAAACATTTCAGTCTGAAGGAAAACCATAACAAATTTTAATTTTTCTGAGGTTGCATGAAATACACTCTTTCATTCCACAAATACTAACTGAGCACCTATTGCATGCTAGGAACTTAGAATATACAGTGAACCAAACAGATAAAGGTTCCTCCTCTCATGCAACTTACATTCTAGAGATGGTAATAAAGAAAATAATAAGCACGATAAATGTACAGAATATTAGAGGATAAGTACTAGAGAAAAATAAAAAGTAGAGCGGGTAAATGGGGATCTAAAGGTCTAAGAAGTGATGGTGGAACACTACATCAAAAACTAATGATGTGGGCACCTGGGTGGCTCAGTTGGTTAAGCGACTGCCTTTGGCTCAGGTCATGATCCTGGAGTCCCGGGATCGAGTCCCACATCGAGCTCCCCTGCTCAGCAGGGAGTCTGCTTCTCCCTCTGACCCTCTTCCCTCTTGTACTCTCTGTCTCTCATTCTCTCTCTCAAATAAATAAATAAAATCTTTAGAAAAAAAAAAAAAAGTGATGGGAAAGGCAGGAAGCAATATTAAATGGAGATACAGGTTGGTCACAAAGTAGGCCTCATTGAGAGCAAAGTCTTTCGGCAAAGACCTAAAAGAGATGAGAAAGGGGTGCCTGGGTGGCCCAGTTGCTTAAGCGTCTGACTTCAGCTCAGGTCATGATCCCAGGATCCTGGGATCGAGTGCCAAGTTGGGCTCCCTGCTCAGCTCCCTCTGCCCTCCACCCCCTGCTCATGCTCTCTCACATGCGTGTGCTCTCTCTCAAATAAATAATTTTTAAAATCTTAAAAAAAAAAGAAATGAGGAAGTGGCTAAGAGATACATGGAAGGATACTGTTCATGACAGAAGTAACAGCTATAGCAAAGATTCTTGATCTGTTTCATTTCTGGAGTGCCAAAGAAACATCAAAGAGGCCAATATGGATGAGGGAAAGGAAGTCAGAGAGATAATGGGATCTGATCTTTTGCAGCCCTAAAAGCCCCTTGAGTTAGAAGGGGAGCTACTGCAGGGTTTCTGAATAAGGGAATGGGGCTTTTGATCAGGCATATAAAGATAAATGCACAGTTCCTTCTATATAAATTACTTACTTCATCCAGATTCCTAAAACGTTCTCTCATTGGAGTTTCTAATTCTTGTTGTATTTGGGCTTGTAACAATTCCAACTTTTGTGGAGTTAATACCTAGTATGTAGAGGAAAAAAAGCATTCTAAGTATAAAATCACAAATACTAAAATCAAGAATACACCAAATTGCAATGCTTAATTATAACAATAAAATCCAATTCATAGAAATTTCACAATATACCTAATTCTACAGTAATCACTATGTAAATAGAACTATCATTTGAAACAATACTTGAAGATCTCAATTTCAGGCTCTCAGAGATGTCAAAAATTCCATTAACATGAGATAAAGATAGTAACTGATTATTATTATGATGATGACTGTTAGGAATAACTGTGTTGGCAGCTAAGGTTACCATGTTTTATATAATGGCTAACAGTCTATCTCCTAAAGCAATCAAAACAAAGGTGTAATAATCTGGTATACCACAGAGAATTATTCAGACTTATTTTCAATCAGAAAAGGCTGACTTTTACTCTGAGCACCAAAACATGGCTCCTCCCTGTTATATACTCCTATAGAACTCATATTTCAAAAAATGATTTAAGTATTTATGTAAGCTCCTGAAGGGCAAACACAGTCTTTATTCACCTCACACCACTGCCTGGGCACATAGGATAACTCAATTACAAACAAAAAAATTACAAACAAACAAAAACCTAGTATGGAAGGGGTGCCTGGCTAGCTCAGTCACTGGGCGTCTACCTTTGGCTCAGGTCGTGATCCCAGGATCCTGGGATCGAGACCCGCATCGGGCTCCCTGCTTGGTGGGAAGCCTGCTTCTCCCTCTCCCACTGCCCCTGCTTATGTTCCCTCTCTCACTGTGTCTCTTTCTGTCAAATAAATATTAAAAAAAAACCCAAAAAACCTAGTATGTACTTACATTAACCTCTGAAAATGAAGAGTAATATTCAGTTTAATTCAATTCATTTATTCATCAATACTCCGAACAGTCCAAAAACTTCACTGAATGAATACTTACTACATACAAAACATTCTGCAACATACTATATAATCTATATAACATAAATATCTTCCATGCATTAACTAACTTATTTAATCCCTGCAATGATCCTCAATGTAGCTATATTATCATCCCCCCTTTTTTTTTTTACAGAAACTGAAGCATACACAATCTAACTTTGTAAAGATCACAAAAACTCACAGGAAGAATTTCTTGCCCCATAAGAAGTTCAAACTCTCATATGAAAAATAACATACATACAAATAACTATAAAAATAACCAATATAGGCTTATCAGACAGGTAAAGACCAACAGAAAAAATATTAAGTATAGAAATAGTGGCACATCAAAGGTATGGGAAAACTAAAGCTTAAACAGAACCAGAAACTTAAGAATGGGTAACATTTTAAATTCCCTGGGGGGAAAAAAATGCTCCTCAAAGGTAAGCTAAAGGCATTTTGGATTGAACCGCACACTAAGCACTACAGACAATTTAGAATCCCGGATCCTTGTGCATTGATGCCCTCTAAATATTGTGACAATCAAGGCCATGCTGAAACATTTCCAAATGCCACTTATGAGAGCTACATCCTGGCTGGGAACAAAAGGGAAAGAGATGCGAGCTACAAGTAGAAGATTCCTAAATATCAGATTCAGACTCTTATAATTTACTCAGTATTCAACAGTAGTTACTTATTTTTTTTTTACTTAAAATGAATAAATATAATTACATACATAATTCAAACAAAAAAAGTATTAAAAGACTAAGTCTTCTTCCTTCAGTTATCCAGTTTCCCTCTTAGGAAGCAATCATGGCTAACCTCTTATATATCCTTCTTGAAACAACATACAAATATATAAGCATATACACCACTTTTTAACTTTTACATGAAGAAAGGCATACTATCACATTTTTCTGTACTTTGCTTATTCACTGAAGGTATTCAAGCTTAAGAATGGCATCACCATATCTATATTTTAGCAAGAAGCAAGATGGATCAAAACCTCTGGTGGGAGAAAACTGGTGACTAGGGCAGGAGAGGGGGAGGCAGTGGATGGAGCTGGGAAATCACATAGAAAGCTCTTATAATCTGGTTTATGATGTCAAGAGTCTGGGTGATAGTATCAAGAGTCCAAAGTGAGAAGGGGTGGTAATGAAAAGGTAAAGAATAATAGATAAACCTTATTTAGATCCTGTTCAGTTGGTTAAGCGACTGCCTTCGGCTCAGGTCATGGTCCTGGAGTCCCAGGATCAAGTCCCGCATCGGGCTCCCTGCTCAGCAGGGAGTCTGCTTCTCCCTCTGACCCTCTTCCCTCTCGTGCTCTCTATCTCTCATTCTCTCTCTCTCAAATAAATAAATAAAATCTTTAAAAAAAAAAATCAAACAAAACAACTTTAAAAATAAGCAAAACTGGGGGCACCTGGGTGGCTCAGTTGGTTAAGTGTCTGCCTTTGGCTCAGGGCATGATCCTGGGATCCTGGGATAGAGCCCCACGTTGGGCTCCCTGCTCAGCGGGGAGTCTGCTTCTCCCTCTGCCCCTCTCCCCTGCTCATGCGCTCATGCTCTCTCTTGAATAAATAAAATCTTTCCTAAAAAATAAGCAAAACTGGGAAAATTAGGGAAATGTGAACAAAGATGCAATATTAAAAGACATTAGGGAATAAGTACTTTTAGGTATGATAATGGTATTGTGGCTATGCTTTTAAAGGAGAGATTACCGGGCGCCTGGGTGGCTCAGTTGGTTGGGCGACTGCCTTCGGCTCAGGTCATGATCCTGGAGTCCCTGGATCGAGTCCCATGTCAGGCTCCCTGCTCGGCAGGGAGTCTGCTTCTCCCTCTGACCCTCCCCCCATCTCATGTGCTCGCTCTCTCTCTCATTCTCGCTCTCTCAAATAAATAAATAAAAAATCTTAAAAAAAAAAATAAAGGAGAGATTACCTTGGTATATAATAGAGATATATACTAAAATACTAGAGTTGAGATGATTTGCTTCAAAATAATCCAGAAGGGTTGAAAGACAGAGGAGGGATGTCAGAAGATAAAACAAGTATTGATGGGTATGTGAGGATGCAACACAACCACCCTTTCTACTTTAACCTTTAATTACAGAAATCTCAAACAAGTACCAATTAGAAATAAAAGTGCTTCCACTTCCAACAGATGGCATAATAGAGATCAGATTTATTCTCCTGCCTAAAACAAATAAAAGAATAAACAAAAATCAAACGTTTTCAAGACAGTGGGTATAATTAAGCAACAAAGATCCCTGAGAGACAAACAACAAAGAAAGTAAGCTTTGAGAATGCTTCCAGGCCATGCACAGGAAGGGATATCCAGGCAGAATCTGATGGACTCTCTGACTTAAAAGCAAATGGAACAAAAATCCAGGGAGAGCAGTGTGGCTAGAGTCACAAGCAGGGTAGCAGAAAAGAGGGTGGCAGAGAAAATTATGAAGATCTGCAAAAGGCTCATTCAGAAGAGTACCCCGATCAGCACATGTATGTAAGGAAAATATTTAATTAAGGCCAGGAAAAGAATGAATCAGATGGATGAGTAATCTGAGCTCACACAGAGCTATGAATAGTTCCTTTTTCCAAAAGCCAGACTGAAAACCTTCATTTCATTGAGCAATGAGTACTCAGAAGGTTCTCAGCAGTGGCAAGTAGTGAGCACTAAATATTAATCTGCTCTCACTTAACAAATCGTTAAAAGCAAGACCCAAAAAGATGAAACTGTTTCCAAGTAACTGTCCCTGAACAAAGCTCAAGAATATCAGAATACAAAAATATCTAGCACTCAATATAAAATTTACAATGTCTAGCATCCAATAAAAATTTATCAGGCATGCAAAGCAGGAAAATACTACCCACAATAAACAAGAAAATCAATCAACCAAAACCAACCCAGAAGTGATACAGATGTTAGAATTAGCAAAGACATTAAAATAGTTATTATAACTGAATTCCATATGTTCAAAAAGCTAGAGAAAAGATTGAACATGTTAAGTAGATATAAGGAAGTTATTAAAAAAATCTAAATTGGACTTCAGTGTAAAAACTACAATTTCTGTGATGAAAAATATATACTATATGGGATTAATGGAAGATGAGATACTGCAAAAGAAAAAAGATCAGTGAACTTGAAGACAGGACAACAGAATCTACCCAAAATGCAACAAGGAGACAAAAAAGATTGAAAATAAATAAACTGAGCATCAGTGAGTTATGGGAAAAGTTTTAAGTGGCCTAATAATGGAATACCCAAAGGAGATCAAAGAGGAGGCAGAAAAAAATATTTTCAGAAGTCACATACAAAAATTTTCTAAAGGTGATGAAAACGGTAAACCCACCTAGTCAAGAAGCTCAATAAACCCTAAGCACTGTAAATATGAAGTACAAAGTCATATCAATCAAATGGCTCAAAATCAGCAATAAAGAGAAAATCTTAAGGGCAGCCATGAAGAAAAGACTCACTGTATACACAGAACAAAGATAAAGATGACAGCAAATTTCTTATGTGAAACAACATAAGTGAGGACAGAAGAGCAACATCTTTAAAGTACTAGGGGGGGAAATAGTCAACTTAGAAATCAATACTCAGCAAAACTATCTTTAAAATCAATTATTTTTAGATATATAAGAGCTGAAAAAATTTCTCATAGATCTTACTTTACAAACGTTAGAGAAAGTCCTTAAGACAGTAGGAAAATGGTACCAAAGGAAATATGGATCCACACAAAGGAGAAAAGAACACTGAAGTTGGTAACTACACAAGAGTCTTGTAATCTATAAGGTCTCTAACTAAAAAAAAAAAAAATCTCAACAACATCTTTTTGTTATCTCCTAAGAATCTTATAAAAAACAAGCACACACACATAAGAAAAATCTATCTTCCCTCCCAACCCTGCCAAAGCACACATACACCAAAGACACAGAATTAGAGGATTTTCTCCATGTCATTTTAGGAGAAAAGTATGCTGCATCTTAGACTTCTAATGGAATACTGCCACCACTTGTCTCAAAAGAAACAAGAATGCTTTATCATACAACAGTCCATGTGTCATTACCTATATTAAATCTATATTATACCACTTGTCATGTTAATAATATAAAATAGACCACTATTTTTCAAAGAATGTTTTAATTTAAGAAGGCAGATATTGCTGTGCCAGAGATTCCTAAAAAAATAATGACAAACTGAATAATAAATTTAGCTATGAGCTTCCTAGCCTCCAACTAAAATGGGAAACATACTGGGTTACATAGTTTCCATTGCCTGGCACAAAGAAAGCATATAAATTTTTGGTAAAGTAACTTTTAAAATTTTAACAGAAATATTATCAAATAACTCATAACATGGTACATAATAACACTATAACAACAGCTAACATGTTCTATCCACTTTCTATATCAAAGCATTGTACTAACACTTTCTATGCACTAACTCATTTCATCTTTACAATCAGCATATAAATTAGGCACTACTATTATTTCCATTCACTACAACTACACAAGTGACACAGAAATATTCTTTAATTGATTATCTTTTATATCATTTTTCTATAAAAGCCAAAGGGATATTAAATCTTAGCTCAGAAAAGGCATTTTGTAGACAAGATAATACATGTATATCCTGAAAATAATCATCTTTCATAAACATTTACTAACATATTTCTTATTGCTTCTACTTTGTTGAATTTACTTAATTTTATTCAACTCATACAAATTGCTGACATCCATAAAGCAAATAGCTAAATTTAGCTTCAACATGCATACATAATATAGATCTTTATTTTAGTTTGTTTTTGCCAGATAAATATCATAGAGAAACCACTTATGTTTATCTTGAAAAACAGAAACTTTACCAGACAAAATATATTTGTCAGCAAACATCTGGGAACTTATCACATGGAGAAATGTCTAAAGTTATTTTGTGTAGATCCAAGGAACAGTACAAGAACCAAGAGAGAGGCTACAGGGAGGATGATTTCATTTCAATAGGACAGGGAAAATACTTAACATGCTCCAATCCATAAATGGAACTGGATCACTTTAAACATTCACTAAGTTCTCTCCCACTGAAAGCACGGAGGCAGAGAATAATTAAGATCCCTGTGTCACAAATGTTCCAAAAAGGAATTTGGCTTTGAATGGTGTATTAGTTTCCTACAGCTACGACAACAAAATATCACAAACTGGCTATCTTAAAACAACAGAAATTTATTGTCTCACAGCTCTGGAGGCTAGAAGTCCGAAATCAAGTTGTCAGCAAGGCCACACTCCCTGAAGGGAAGGATCCTTCTTTGCCTCATCCTAGCTTCTGGTGGTGTGCTGTTGATCCCTGTCCTTCCTTGGCAGCTGCAGCCCTTCAATCTCTGCTTCTGTCATGACAGGACATTCACCCCACCTCACTCCCTGCCCTTCGCCCTGTGTTTCTGTCTTTGTGTCTGTTTTCCTCTTAGAAGGACACCGGTCACATTGGATTAAGGGCCCATCATCCTTCGGTATGACCTCATCTTAACTAATTACATCAGCAAAGACTATTTTCAAACAAGGTCACATTCTGAGGTACTGGGCATTAGAAGTTCAACATATTTTTTGGCGGACACAAGTTAACTCATTACAGATTTGAAACAATGAGAGGATTATCAACTCTAAGATGCTGAAGCTTTAGGTACATAAGAGACAAGAAAGAACATTGTATTATATATGAACCTCAATTCCGAGTCATTCATTTATTCCACTTCTTCATGTCATTCATTCTACAAAAATTTGCTAACATATTATAAAATATATAAATACAAACAGAAATCTACTTGAGCACTGAAGACACACTGAAAGAGTTCCTGCCCTTACGGAGCCTGCATTCAAAGAGAATAAATGCCATCATTCATGAGAATCTACTATGTGTCAGACATTATACTAAAAATATATATGTTATTTCATCAGTCCTCACAAAAACCACTGTTAACAACTTTTATCCTCTTTACCACATGACAAAACTAAGGCATAAAAACAGATGTTTGTTGAAGATGATGACCTTCAACAAAGTTCTCACTGGTGAACTGACCCTTTTTTTGGTCATAAAAATGACATTTTTACCTTAAGTGACACTTTCTGTCTTGAAGTAAATTTTGTCTGATATTAATATAATTCCTGTTTCTTCAAACTAACATGGAGACATGCTTATTTGTACCAAGCACATGCAAACAATAAGCTAAAGAAGACTAGAGTGTTTATATCTACAGTGTCAGAAGAATACTTGGAAGCATTCCTTGGATTCAGTGCTCACAGATTCTCATTTCTATGGCCTCTCAATTTTTGCAAAACAAATTAATCTACCAATTCTATAGGCTTAAATTACATTTGCCTATTCAACTCCTATATGTGAGGTTTTTGTTTAAATGTCCTAAATACACCTAAGAATAAAATACCACAATACAGGCTCCAACCCAAGCTTAGTGGTGGTGTTCCCAACAATGGAAGATTTCAAAAAGATACTGAATAACCAACTTCTAACACTGCTGTCAAAGGAATCCATGAATTGGGCGATATGCCATATTAGATAACTGAAAAGGTAGCTTTTTACCCCTATCAACTTCTGACTCCAATATTAAAAATACTTATCATTTGTACCAAGCACTAAAAAGAAATACACAGCTGGTACCATTTAGAGATTAAATGAACACAGGAAAATATGACTGCTAATATCTACTAATTTGAAATTTATAATAAGTTTGACTGGTGCTACAGTAAGTTTAGTTTTGGTCTCCTTTCTAGGCAAATGAGAAATGAAACGGTAGTACCATCCTCTGCTCTAGAAACTCCATTTACTGTACCCTGCACACATAAAATAAGTGCACATATTGTTTTTATAGTCTTTTAAGAAGTCCCTTAAAAATAACTATCAGTCTTGTCAACTACACTTCAGTAATAAAAATTTTTTTAATAAATATCAGTCTTTTTTAGCTCAGTTGCAGTTATAATACTTAAAAGAAAATTAGTAAAACTTTCTTTAAAAAAATATTTTTAACTCTCAATATTTATCAATTCAAACCGGCCTTTCCCGCAATTATTCTGAATAGTGAAATATTTAAATCAGAACAGGTAATATAACACAAATTTACATGAAACAACAGTTTCATGGCTAAATCCCACATGGTAGCTAAAATTCCAGAATATATGAAAGAATATTATATTCTACCACGTGGACAACAGCAAAATACTCATTAAGAATGTAGGCAGAATTCACCAAATTTAGCAACATCAGGCTACTTTTGTATCATAGGTGCAAAAGGCAGGCCTCCCCAGGATGGGCTGTTTTGGCATGAAGACTGTTTTGATTTAAAAGCAATCAAAACCCAGCCGATTTAGGAAAAGCTCTTTACCTCCCTCTCAACTGCCTCAATTTAATTGGAAAGGAGAGGCTATACCAAGAAGAGAGCTATTAACAGAGGTTCCTTTTTACCTAAGAAATTTATCTGCTTAACAGGGCAACCTTTGTTTTCCAAACATCTCCTCTCACCATCCTGCTACTGATCTTCTTTCCCTTTGTATCCCCAGACTTGACCTGTCTCCCTAGCTCAGGATGTCATATAAGCCTACTGCTGCCTATCTTTGGAATTTCATGTTCGTGATGTTTGTGTGGATTCTGCATACTGTTGAAACTAAATTTGATTTCTCTTATTAATCTAATCTCATGCCAATTTGATTCTTAGTCCAGTTTAGAAGGACCCTGAAGGGCAGAGGAAATTTTTTCCCCAATAGTACTAACTGAAATATATTTTCTTACCTGTAGTTTCATTTCTTCTAAGTCTTTAGTTTTCTCTACTAATTCCCCTCTTAGCTCTTCAAGCAGCAGCTGAAATTTTTCCTGGTGAGTCTGCTTTTCATTTAACAGGCGCTTTAGTTCATGTTGTGATTTTATGTACTCATCTTGCAATCTGATTTTTAAAAAAAGAAAAAATTCAACTTTAAGGATATCCTTTGCTTTATCCTAATTGCACTACTTTATGTGAGGTCAACCAACACTACAGAACAAGGCCAATTTCATATATCCCATTAAGTTCATAAACCTCTTTTCTTTATAGAGTTTAATTATTAACACTATAGTTTATTAATACAATTTTACTTGGGGGAAAGGAAAAACACACTTAGCCACCTAGACATTTTATATGTCTTGCTACTTTCAAAACAAGACATAAATTCATAGCACACTTGGGACCATGTTTAGTTTAGTTTTGACTAAAGTAATTTTAAAGCAAAACTTTGACTGTATTAAAGAAGTTCTTTTTTTTTTTTTTTAAAGATTTTATTTATTTATTTGACAGAGAGAGACACAGTGAGAGAGGAAAACACAAGTAGGGGGAGCGGGAGAGGGAGAAGCAGGCTTCCTGCAGAGCAGGGAGCCAGATGCAGGGCCCAAACCCAGGACCCTGGGATCATGACCTAAGCATGAAGGCAGAGGCTTAACAACTGAGCCACCCAGGCACCCCAGGAAGTTTTAAATGTATATACTGCAAACTAACAAAATTATACTGTATGTTCCAGAGCAAACGTTCAGACAAAAATAATTTTCTTAATAAAGCCCCTTAACTCCAAATTTAAGCAATTTACCTTGTGTGTTCAGCTTTAAGAGTCTGATAGTTAGTTTTATGATGTGCACATCGTAACCTTTCGTCAATTAACATTTTTTGGAACTCAGATTGAGAATCTGTCAGCCCGCTGTCTCCACCAGGAGGAAAAATAGTGGGAAAAGTATCCATATTGGTAAGTGAGCAATTGACCATGTAAAAGTAAGTGGCTTCCTTTTTGTCTTAGCTTTCTTTTTTCCAAGGGTATTTTCCACTTCCTTCTTCCTAAGACAGACTCTCAGGATGCCAAATTATACCTGCACAGAGAAATGCACTTAGTTAGTGATGAATTAAACTCATTCACTGTGACATTCTTTTTATCCCTTCTTGTTATTCAACTATCATTTCTATAACAAAACCCAAATTTTCCGATTTTTTAATTGTTCATAAAACAAAAAGAACAAAGTTGAATCGTACCTTAACACATTTTCTTTAGTCCACACTAAGTTTCTGTGACCATCAACGTCACATCTTCAATTATTAACCTAACTAGAATTACTGACTTTTCTAATTTAGGTACTCCCAGATCCACAAACCATGGATATTCCCTGAAGCTACTACGGTAAACTTCATAGAATGATCCTACTACAAAATCCATACTCTGAAATCAGAGAAAAGCCACTTAGAACTTGACAAATGGTTGGAGAAAATTATAATCTTCACAAAGATGACCTTCACCAAGTAACTATGTGATTAATGCTACAAAGGGTCTTTTATCTGACACAAGGTGAACTGTACTCATGCTGCAGACTCAGATGAGAAATCAGTCAACACAAAAATGTTAATCATCTGTGTTATGTACTAAGAACAGGAAAGTAAATCACTTCAGCTATCCCCAAAAGCACTGATCCAGGATTATGAAAGTAACTGTTTGTTATATTTAGAACTAAAAAAAATGATGACAGAGTATTCTTATTGTAAATAATTAAAAACAAAAGTTTTCATCAAAGTAATTCTCTCACCTTTAGCTTCATGAATCTTTGTGAAGATTATATGTATTTTTTTCTAATAGCATCTCCCTCAGTCATGAGTCATCATGAAATACCTTTTCCTACTACAAGATCTTTAGCACATAAAAACCAACCATCAAATTACTCAGTCTTTCTTTTAATATACCATTTCTGATAAATTAATGTGATGTCTGCATATTACCTAAGAAGACTTTTAAACTAAAATTGAAGTTACTTTGGTTTCCTGTCAAATCACATTTTAATAGAAGGGACAAAGTCCTCCAAGAAAACTTTACTTCTTACTCATGTTAAACGTGCAACAATGCACTGTTTGTAACAGCTGCCACAACATTATCCTAACAAAAGTAAGTTATTTGTCAGGGAATTAATTAACTGGATCATAAAACTGGCATGTAAGGGTGCCTGGGTGGCTCAGTTGGTTAAGCGACTGCCTTCGGCTCAGGTCATGATCCTGGAGTCCCGGAATCGAGTCCCGCATCAGGCTCCCTGCTCGGCGGGGAGTCTGCTTCTCCCTCTGACCCTCTTCCCTCTCATGCTATCTCTCATTCTCTCTCTCTCAAATAAATAAAATCTTAAAAAAAAAAAAAACCTGGCATGTAATTTTGACTCTGCTTTTTGATCCAAGTAATTTTTAAAAGATAGAAACACACAATAAACTTACTTCATACTTTGTAATAATACCACCAAGAGATATTATAAGGTTTTTTTTTAAGATTTTATTTATTTATTCACGACAGACAGACAGACAGAGAGGGGGCAGAGGCAGAGGGAGAAACAGGCTCCCCATGAAGCAGGGAGCCCGATGCAGGACTTGATCCCAGGACCCCAGATCATGACCTGAGCTGAAGGCAGACACTTAACCGACTGAGCCATCCAGGTGTCCCAGGGTTTTAATTTTAATTAGCTAAAAGCTTAAACGACATAAGAAAAACCAAGACCTATTCTTCAGTCCCACTACCAATGAAACAAAGATTTCTAAGATAAAATGATAATTTTTTTTTCTTATTCCAGTTGACAGTAAATATTCTAACTCCTACTTTAAAATGGAAGTTCAGTCCCATTGCAAATAAAATTCACAAAGACCTGGACATTTAAGGAAAACAGGGTTAAAATGATTTAAATCCTTCCCTTTTGGCATTAAAATCTACTACAAGTGCTTTTCAGGACTAATTGCAGGATAGCCATTTCTCAATCACTACCACCATTACCTTATTAACCTTAAAAAAAAAAAAAGTATCTTCCTCCAGTTGGGATCATAAAGGAGCAACCAGGTGCAAAATCAAGTACATATCTTCCTGTTGGGTCTACAACTGACTATGAGTGGTAGGGAGTGAGAGCTCCCCTTGCTGAATCTCCCATCTCCATTTTAACGAGGTTTCCCATTATTAATTTTCACAGCCTCATCTCCAATTCTAGTTCCATTGCAAACATATGTGTACCCTCTGGGATCTTCTTGACTCAAAGTTATGAACTCCTGGGTTGCATCTGCCAATAGTCATTTTCAGACTTTTCTCCTCTAGGAATATTTCAGAATCAAAGAAAACTGTCCACTTGCACAAGTCTTACCAAGGTCAGAATAAACTTTGTATCTGTTTTTAGTGTTTTGAACATATATTCAGTTCTCCAGTCCAGTAATAATCAATTTATCAATGATAATCTTGGAAAATATGATATCCTCCAAATAAATATCTAGTAACATAGACAGAAAGGCCTCATAAAACATTAATTCTTTCTCTGACCTTCAAAAGTGGTTCCACAATTCTATATTCAAGTTTACAAAGAACAAACTTGTATCTTTTATGCTAATTATATAAAGATGCTTTTAGCTAAAAACAAAAACCTCAACTACCTCAAACACCGTGGGAAATGTATTATCAATCTCTTACACCAAGAAATCTGAAGATAGTCTTCACTTCCAGTACTAAAGGAAAAGGTAATTTAGATCAAGTCTCCTGCTTAGGACAAGAAAAGCTGGACATGTGTTTTAATAATCTGAAGACAATGGAAACTAACAAAAGAATAAATATTTACTGAAATGGGAACAGGAGATGATGTGGATGCAGAAAGATGAGACTGGCATTTGGGACCACTCTTCCCCTAGAGGCATCTGCCAGTTCCAGAGAGGTGGCTGGGAGACTGAATGCCTGCTGACAGTCTTCAAATTCAAAGATACACAGATTACACCAGCAAGGAGTGGAGAAGCCCTGGTGAACACCCCCTTCATTTTCGATACAGACTTTAAAGGTTTGCCCTTATTATTCCTAACAAGGGTAATTTAGATGAATGATATTAGAATAGGCTGCAACTTGCTCTAAAAAACAATTTTACAAATAAATGTGACAAAATAAAAAAATTTTTTTTTAATTTTAAAACTCAAGTACCTGGGAAGATAAGGTGACATGAATTAAAGTTACAAAAAGCAAAAAGACAATAGACAAAAGGGCCTCACTATCAGAATTATTAAACAACGATTCTAAAAGAAATTTTCTTACATTATTGTATACAAGACAATAAAAAACAAGGTTGAGAATTTTGTGAGAATAAGCAACCATAAAAAGAAACCAAGGGAAATCTCTAAAACTGAAAAATTCTACAACCAAAAGTAAAAACTCAATGAGCAAGCATAACAGCCTATATAAGACATAGCTTAAAGTAGTAACTAGAAGGGGTGCCTGGGTGGCTCAGATGGTTAAGCGTCTGCCTTCGGCTCAGGTCATGGTCTCCAGGTCCTGGGATCGAGCCCCGCATCAGGCTCCCTGCTCCGCGGGGAGCCTGCTTCTCCCTCTTCCTCTGCCTTCCCCCCTGCTTATGCGCACTCTCTCTCTAATGATTAAATAAAATCTTTAAAAAAAAAGTAATTAGAAGATAAGTTAAAAGAATATAAGAGAAATAAGGATGAAAAATAAAATAAAATAAAATAAAAAGGAGGACCCACAACCGTATGGCCAACTAATCTTCAACAAAGCAGTAAAGTCGGTTGAGCATGACTCTTGGTTTTGACCCAGGTCATGATCTCCTAGGTCGTGGAATCGAGCCCCACTTCAGGCTCCATGCTCAGTGGGGAGTCTGCTTCTCTCCTTCTCCCTCTAACTCTCTATGAGCATGCATGTGTGCTTTCTCTCTCAAATAAATAAAACTTAAAAAAAATCTTCAAAAAAATATATCCAATGGAAAAAAGACAGTCTCTTCAAAGTGTTGGGGAACCTGGACAGCAACATGCAGAAAAATGAAACTAGACCATTTTCTTACACTGTACACAAAAATAAATTCAAAATGGATGAAAGACCTAAATGTAAAACAGGAAACCATCAAAATTCTAGAGGAGAAAGCAGGCAGCAACCTCTCTGACTTTGGCAACACCTACTTCTTACTAGGCATGTCTCTAGAGGCATGGGAAACAAAAGCAAAAATAAACTATTGGGACCTCATCAAGATAAAAACCTTCTGCACAGTGAAGGAAACAATCAACAAAACTAAAAGGCAACCAATGGAATGGGAGAAGATATTTGCAAATGACATAACAGATAAAGGGCTAGTGTCCAAAATCTGTAAAGAACTTAAAAACTCAACATCCAACAAATAATCCAGTTAAGAAATGGGCAGAAGACATGAATAGACACTTTCTGAAAGACATCCAGGTGGCTAACAGACTCGTGAAAAGATACTCAACATCACTCATCATCACGGAAAAATAAATCAAAACCACAATCAGACACCACCTCATACCGTCATAATGACTAAAATTAATAACTCAGGAAACAACAGACATTGGTGAGGATGTGGAGAAAGGGGAACCCTTTTACACTGTTGGTAGGAATGCAAACTGGCGTAGTCACTTTGGAAAACAGTATGGAGTTTCCTCAAAAAGTTAAAAATGGAACTATCCCATGACCCAGCAATTGCACTTCTAGGTATTTATCCAAAGGATACAAAAATGCTGATTCAAAGGGGCACATGCACCCCATTGTTTACAGCTGTACTATCAACAATAGCCAAATTATAGAAAGAGCCCAAATGTCCATCGACTGATGAACGGATAAAGAAGACATGGGGTGTGTATGACAGAATATTAATCCCCCATCAGAAAGAATGAAATCTTGACCTTTGCTATGACATGGATGGAACTAGAGTATTATGCTAGATGAAAAAATGTCGTTCAGAGAAAGACAAGTATATGGTTTCACTCATATGTGGAATTTAAGAAACAAAACAGATGAACATAGGGGAAGGGAAGGAAAAATAAAAACAGAGAGGCAGGCAAACCATAAGAGACTCTTAAATAAAGA